TATAATTATAATTCTATTTCCATGCAATGATAATTTGAATATAATATATATAATTAGACAGATTAATTAAAAGAGAAGAATCGAATGACAAACATCAAATCACCAAACTACAATTAACTACTCAAATCATGTTTTGGTTCATCATGTTAGATTTTAATTCATCATAGCTCTTTTGGAATTGTAATCCTATATATAAATATATATATCTATATATATATATCCTAAGAATTTACTGAATCTAAATTCTCAATTTACTCTTACAATGTAGTATTTGAAATTATGGAAAAGGGCCTAAAATACCCTTGAAGTATTCCATTCATCTATTGGCTTCAAAATGTCCTTCTCATCTATTGATTGGCTCCAAAATACCTTTGTCATCCACCTTTAGATTCAAAATTAACCACTTATTTAATTTTTTAAAAAATTAAATTCTTTAAATATTTTTTAAAATACTTGGCATTCAACTATTAGTTATAATTTAATTTATTTATATAATTTATAAACCAACCCACTACTCACGCATTACTAATTAAACCACACCCAATTAATAATTCAATTATAATATCAAAATCGCCACAAACACTACTAAGACACTATGTAATTATAGATTCCTGAAAATGACATCCAAAATTATTCGAGTCCGAACCGAAGCCCCAATTAAATTTAGGTAGAGTCGCTTATTTAGGAGGACCCTTTCAATAGAATTCTCTTTCAAGATTGAATTAGATTTTATGATTAAAAGTAAAGAAGTAATACATTCCGAATTAATTCATGCGCTTTTTTAAAAATATAATTTTATAAATATTTATGATTTGTTTTAAAATCTTTAATATGTTATTTTGAAAAAAAGTTACCTATTAAGTAACATCACATAAATGAGACGTAACAATAATTAAGATAAACATAGTCAGACTTTTAAGTTTATCGATGATTTCTATTTAGAAACTTGAATCTATGATATTTTCAACTCAAATTTTAAAAAACAATCAATTGACAGTAGTTTTTCTGTTGTTGCACTAATAATGTGACGGATTTATTAATTTAGAGGGTTTTAATTAATAGTGGGTGGGTAGTGAATTGATTTTTTAAATTATACTAATAAGTTAAATTATAACAAATAGTTTAGCACCACGTATTTAAAAAATTTAAATTTAAAACCGTTAAATAAGTAGTCAATTTTAAACCAAAAGGTGGATGACAATCGTATTTTGGAGTCAATAGGTAGGTGGAAAGGGTATTTTGGAGCCAATAGGTGAATGGAAGGTAATTTTGTACCATTTTCAATACTCTGAAGGTATTTTAGGTCCTTTTTCGTTGAAATTAAGCTAAAGTAATTTTTTTAAAATAAAATTATGTTTAACATGATAAAACAATTTGAAAGAGAAAACTCTTTAAACTTCAAATAAGCAATTATTTATAATAATCCCCAAATATTATTTTGAATTATTTGAAACCAAATCCAAAAACGAGGACCTAAAGCTATATAAAAAGGAGTAAGGTTTTTGTTGAAGTAGTTTGTTCGATCAAATTTTTTTTTTTAAAAAAAAAATAGGTTTTTGAATAATAATAGATATTTAAAAAATAATAATTTCTTTTTAAAAGTGTTTTTGAAATATTAGTCGAACATAAAGTATTACTTTATTATTGGGAAAGCACCCAAGTACCTCCTCAATCTATGCCCGAAATTCCAGAGAAACATTTATACTATACTAAGGTCCTATTACCCCCTGAACTTATTTTATATGTAATTTTCTACCCCTTTTTAGCCTACGTGACACTAGTTCAAAAGAAAAAGTCAACCATCGTTGAGCCCACAAGATAGTGCCACGTAAGCTAAAAAGGGGTAAAAAATTATTAATAAAATAAGTTCAGGAGGGTAATAGGACCTTAGTATAGTATAAGTGTGTCTCTGAGATTTCGGGCATAGGTTGAAGGGGTACTTGGACATTATCCCCTTTATTATTAGCACAAATATTTTTAAATTGATTAGTGAAACATAAATTGTTACTCTCAAACAATATTTTCTTTCCCATAAAGTACTTCCATTAAAAAAAATTAAATAAAGTTGTAGTAAATCTGATCCATACAATCATGGTCGTCCAACCTAAGGCTGAGCATCGAACGAAATTATACCAGTACTTATCTGATATTGTTTTGGTACCATACCGATTCATTTCGATTAGATAGTATTCAAGACGGGGTGCAATTCATTAAACTGATACACGAAATAAAACGATATCATGCTTTGGTATTGGTATATGATATCAGTTCATCCTGATTCGTTCCAATCCGATTTGGTATCATTCCTAACTCGATAAATCATTTTAATTAAAATAAAAAATAATATTTTTGTCATTGTTTACTTTTATAAGCATTTAATTTTTGTATATTTAATTCTTTAAATTTACAAACTTAACTTATTTAACTTACAAATTATAAATATAACTTAATATATAACTTATAAAACTTATTTAACTTACAAGTTATAAGTATAACTTAATATATAACTTATAAACTTCCTTTAAATTAAATTTAAGTAAAATTTTTATAAATTTTAAAACTTAATTCTATAAACTAATAAACTTAGAAAAAAATATTCGTATTTTAATAATTCAAAATAACTATAAAAAAAATTAAAAATAGCTATATGTGCTATTCTGTTTATCCCATTCCTTTCTAATACATTTCAGTCTGTCCCGATTCTATTATATAGTGGGATGGGACGAAATTCAGTCTCTATTTCGATAATTCTGATTCGATTCATCTCGATATTTATTACAATCTGGTCAAATCGTCCAGTTCCACTCCAGTGGTCCTATTCCATTCCGATGCTCAGCCTTAGTCCAACCTACTTAGGTTTGAATGGATTAATGACTTGCTTATTTTATCTACTCAATTTTTTAACTAGCATGATTCATCTCATTTTAAAACTAGGTTGATATTATATTAAAATTAATCCACGAGAATTTTGTGTCAAAATATGTTTAAGAAGATATTTGCTATGTTATACATAGATATAATATAAGAAGAAAAAAAAGTTAGGGTAAATTAAAATTTCGCTTTAGTTGACTTCCTTTAATGGTCAATCGACTCATTTGCACGTTAGTAGATTAGATAAAAGGTAATAACAACTTGCGATAAGTAAATAACATAGAGTGTTTTTATACTGGTTCGTAGCATCGATGTGATGTCTTGTCCAGTCCCTTGGGTTACAAGGGTTTTCTTAAAAATTTATTAAGAGCTCGGTGTTACAAAATGTTATAATTAAGAGCCCGTACGTCTGATTTGCAAATCAGATCTACTTTTTCGACACAACTTCTATCTGTATAACTTACACTCAGATCTTTCTTTCTCTTTTCATTTCAACTGTTAACTCAAGTTTGTACAAAGTTTTATGAAAGATAAAAGAATATTACAATATTAGTTCAAGTGAAGTGCGTGCTTCACAACTATGGCTAATAGTGGTTTAAATAGCTTTGGAGGACTTTGTTCTTTACGGAAATCCAAGGGAGTTTTAATCAAGGGAGTTTGATTAAGTCCTTGATTTTATTCTAATTGATTTGCTGGGTCATGACCATATCATATATGTGCATGAACAAATCGATTTGTTTATTTGTATGATGATCTTCTCGTTGTATTGAATTTTTGGCTGATCTCGTTAACTTGAATGCATCCCTTGATTTTGATTTCTTCCTTGTAGTCTTGAATGTTAACTGATCTAGTTGTCTTAAAAGCATCCGCTGATTGATGCACATTATCTATTTTCTTCTGTAGGTGATTTGTTCTACGATCTTGAATATCTTCTGCAATCTTGAATATATTTAATTGATTTAAGGAATTTTCGATTGATCATGATTTGCTTGATTGATTCTGAAATTTGATTGATTCTAGAGATCAAGACATATCTTTATTACGATAGTAAATGCAATAACTGCTTTCATTTTATGTCTCCCACATCATATAAGTTTCCCCCTTGATGTAGTGTGTGATTTCTTTTCCTTTTTGATTTTTTTGTCTTTATTTGTTGAACATATGTTGTCTTTCTTAGGTGTTATGTTCTTGGTTCATCTTTTTCTTTCTTTGCTTGCAACAAGTCACAAGTCGATTAAGTGTTTCATTATTAAAATTATCCGATAATATGAGGCAAACACTAACTTCTAAATATGAATCAAATAATAAGTTCATTTATCTTATTTTATTTCATCCACTTAAATTTAATTGCATCTCCCATTTAACACTCGTAAACCCCCTAGTAAATTGTTGCAATTAGGGTTGTTCATAGAAATGGTTAAAAAATTAAATCGAATCGCAAATCAAACCTAATCGATTAAAGAAATTGATATTTGGTTTGATTAGGTTTGTTTTAAAGTTTGAAACACGATATTGTTTGATTTGATTTTAATTTCACTAAAGATTAACCGCAAAATAATCAAACTGAATCAAGAGATTACATATATAAAATTTATAATCGTATATATATTATTCATAAATAAAATATAAATATAAAGATAGCCACACTTTCACTTAATTGAGACATTTTGTTCGTGTATAATAACTCTAATGTTCTTAATTGTTTAATTGAACTCACAATAGTTTTCCTGGTGATTGTTCATATACTAGGTGTTTGTGTCTATCGACAAACGTATGTCTTCAAAAAAATTAAGTATTACTTTCAAATTGAAAAAACCAGATTATTGAACCAAACCGACTAGATTAATTTAATTTGATTTTAAAACTTTAATGACCAACTAAATTAATTTGATTTTGATTTTCATCAATAACCAATCCAAGTTAAATTACGACCACCGCGTCAAACATTTAACTATAGAAAAGTTAGCATGGTAATTTGGATAAAATTTACCCGCACCGGATGTTTACACTAAGTCAGTACATGCATGTCATGTGTTTAAATTTATAATTTATTTTAGGCTTAAGTTATCCAGAGCCCTCTAAAATTGTCTGCATATTTTAATTAGACATCAAATTCAACCATATACCTGTTGAACACCTAAACTGTAAGAAATTTTAATTATTAAACATTTTATGCTGACATGACAATATGTGTGTAATACACAGTGAAAGGGCATAATAAGATTTATCTTTTTTTAAATTAAATTATCATCTCTTCTTCTTCTTTGACTTAACCACCGTTGCCATCACCTTTCCGGCAATCGTTGGTATCGCCACCATTAAAGTTCATTTCGTTGCAGTCATTCTTCTTCTTCGCACCACCTTGATTCTTACCGGGCCTCTCGTCACTTTACCCATTCTTCTCCTTTCCGTTCTTTCTCCATCGTCCTCTTCCCCCCCTCATCACCCCAACCATCCACCATCAACACCACCTCATTTTTCTCCAAATTTATGTCGTCAATGTCTTTCTTTCTCCATAAAATTTCAATCAATCAGTTACAACTTTCAGATTGCCATCTTAGTTTGTTCGTCGGAAAACTTTGACACCATAAATCTCTTTCTTTCTACCCAATCAGTTCAAGAATAAATCAAATCTACGCATAAGAACAAAAATCAATCTTATAGAAAACAAGAGATTTAAGTTTTTTCTAAAAGAAAAATGGGGAAGAAGATGAAATTGGGGGCTTGGGGCGTAGGCAGCAGTCGGAGGCGGCAATACGCAGGTTTAGGATTTTAGTTAATTTTTTTAATTAATTATATTGAGCTCAAAGCCACACGATTACAATTTTTAGTTAATTATCGAAATGTATCTAATAGGAATAATTTTATTAAGTTAAAAATGTTCAAATAGGTAAAACATTGATTTGAAGTGTCTAAGTGAAATATGCGAACAATTTTAAAGATTTTTAAATGACTTAATTTTTATTTTACTTCACTAAATCACATTATAATAAAAATTACATTGACTTACCGATGCGTATAAGTTTTTTCCTCATAATTTGCTTCCACCCCTTTCGTGTTTTTTTTCTTCTCTGGGATTTGTTCACCAACCAAAGTTTAGATTATTTTTTTTAGTTACCTTTTTGAATCTCCCGTGACACTTGCAAATAATTCTGTGTTACTTTATTAAAATTATCAATGATGATATAAATATTTTTTATTTATTAACAGATTTAACACTTTCTTGTTTAACAAATGTCATCGATGACCTTATCCTATTTACCCACTAAAGAAACATAAATTCATAATCCATTTTTTATATATATACCTAAATAAACATGTCACACGATCACCTTCCCTTACCTCATCAAAGATCTCTCAAATTTCACCACTTTGGCTCTATTTCTTTGTACACTTGTTAAATGTTTCGAATTTGGATATATTGGGGTGTGGGGGAGGGTAAGTTTAGTAATATTCGAAATAATTTGATGATTGGTTTATCAGTCAGTCCTTTCATATTTTTAGATATAAGCGAGAATTTGATACTATTAACATATATCAAATCTATATTATGCGCTGTGCTCTACCACAAAATTCGAAGCATATGAGTTTCTCTTGTGTCTTATTAACAATTTATCATATCAATGTATAGATCAAACAATACAATGCAATTAACTTATGGGAGAAAACAAACAGATTTTAATATTTAGGCCATCAAATTCGTTAAACCACTTTACTTTATAATTATGCTTTTAATGGAAGTAAGGAGAAGCGTAACGATTCTTTAAAAACCTATAAATTAGAGGAATATGTATAATAACAAGTTACACTAATGTATAATTACGTACGAAGAAGATTAATTTATAGAAAAAGGTAATGTTAAATTTTCTAAAACCATCTTTTTTTAATATCTAAATAAAGTTTTATAATTTAGTAACCTCTTGATACTTCTAACTAGTTGGACATTTCCTAAATTTTAGTTAGCCTTTTCAAAATAGCTTTAAGTTATTTTTATTATTTTTCGTTCGGTGTCCATAGTGTTCATGTTGCCATGGCCTTTAATTAATTAAAACTCACACATCATATGAATATGTTCTTTATTTTTTATAGAAAAAAGTGTATCGTAACAAAAAAAATCGTACTAAAGATATTTTTACTACACTCCACAATAACTCTTGTTTGTTTAAAAGCAAGTTATTGTGTTTGGTTCTATCGTTTATCCAAAGAAAATGCAGAAAAATTGGTAAGTCAATTATGAAATTTAAATTCTACAGATAAAAAATTATGATATATCATAGAGTTTTATAAGTTGAATTAGAATTTTATGACAATAATTTTTGAAATTATAAGAGTTGAAAAGTGACTATTTGTATATTTTAAGTAATCCAAATTATTAAAATTTGAAGTAGGACAAAGACATTCACTTTGGAATTAGTTATTATTTCATGCATTGCACGCTTGACTTTATTTAATTACTTTTTTAAAGATCCCACGCATTCCATAATCTATAAAGCCAAATTCATTTGGATAAAAAAGTTTTGAGTATAATTTTGTCGAAAATTTAGAAGACAACATAAGAAGAAGAAGAAAAAATAAGATTTTGGAGATCTATATTGTAAAATTTAAATAATGAGTGTTTAAATTAAATGCCCCATCCTTTGAACTATACTATACATTATATAGTTTGCCTTTAAATATTAGTGGACGAATTGATAGAGCGAAAAAAAATTCAATATAAAGTTTTGGATTCAATATTATTATTGCACGAAGCTTATTTAATATGATTCATGTCTTTAATATAATTCATGAGCAATCATATACAATACTGAAGCGGGGTTTAATAAGAATGTACTAGAAGGATAGTTATTACGAATTTCCATATTGCAATATGTCTCCGATATATGGACACAACTAATTTGTTTGTGCTTGATATCTATACTAAATTAATATGCGTGTTTATATATAAACTTTTACCACTCAAGTAAGGTGATTTATTTATATTATGACCGTATGAAATAATTAAAATATGATTTGTTGATAAGTATAATCACCGATTGAGTATCGATATTTCCCCTTTACTTTTGTCCTTTTCATGTGATGTAAAAATACTTTAAATTAGAAGCGTAAAATTGAATTGAAAATCGAATCAAATCATAAATTAAGTAAGATGATGATAATTTATTAGTTTGATTTGGTTCATAAATTTAAAAATCTGTCATAAATGATTTGATTTGATACTTAAAAATATTATGAATTAATTCAATAATGCATATACCTACTTAAAAATACAGATTTATGATGCAAACATTGAACTAAATTAGTCAAAAAAGACAATTTTAATATGATAGTGTGATATATTCTTCCTTATATAGGCCAAATTCGTTCAATTTTTTTCTAAAATGTCTCACTTCAGCAGAGGTATCAATTGAATCTTATATGTTTTATCAATAGAATCTTATATGTTTTTTCTCTCCTATTAAATATAAAATTTTATTTGCAAGCTCAATAATTATTGTCATGAAATTTTAAATACACATTTAATTTTCTTACACTATACAGATCCGTGATATTTAAAACTCTAATGATTATTTTCGATTACCCTATATATACAATTTTACAACCCTAATATAAAAATATCTTACTATCTCTTGTCAAATCTCGTTTGGTTAATGCAAATCACTGTTCTTCTTTACCTAATTTGCTTTTCTCATATGGTTAAATTTTTTTTTTATATAGGTTAGATTTTTAATTAAGGGATCGTCTTCACTCATTTTTTTTCATCTTATTTTCGATACATATATTAGAGCCCGATTAAATTTGAATTCACATGAAGTCCTACAGTAAGGAGTAAAAACATTCCCTAACAAAGACGATTTCGTATATGAATGAACTCAAACTTAAAATCATTGATTAAAAATGAAAGAAAACTTACCATTCCATAAAGCGTTTCCTAACAAAGACGATTTCGTATTCAAATGGACTCAAACTCGAAACCATTGATTAAAAATGAAAGAAAAATTACCATTCTATAAAGCGTTTCCTAACAAAGATGATTCCGTATCCGAATATACTCAAGCTCAAAACCATTAATTAAAAATGAAAGAATACTTATCACTCCACCATAATCTTTTGTTGATAATTAAGGACTGTCAATTTGTCATTGCAAGGGGAAATTCAATTTGAATTGGACTTTGTTAAATAAAAAGTAGTTAGCAAGTCCAATTCAAATAAAATTTTCCTATTCAATCACAACTTTTGATTCTGTTCACATTTGAACTTACTTTATACTAAAGCAACCCATCAAATTAGTCAATATTCACATCACAAATACCATAAAAAAAAACATGTGTTCCAATATTTTCCATTATGTTTCCTCAACTTATCATGAAATATTTGATACAATTTCAGCCATGTATATATCCTCAATAATTTTACATAAAAACAATTAACTGATTGAAAATGTTTTGGCATATAATAACAATACAAATCATTTTAAATCCGAATATCGGATCCTTTAACATCTAATCGGGTTGCTTTTTTTTAAGATTTATCAATATTGCGGATAAGTTTTGATATGTTTCGAGGTGATCGTCTCCGATCTAGATTATTGAGGTGAGATATATCATGTATATATTTTAAAAGGAGTGGTAAGATTGAAAGGAAGAATACACCAATTTATCATTCAACACCAAAAACAAAAAAGAATATAAGAAAAACTAAATAAAGAAAAAGTACAAATCAACCGTTATGAAATAATACGAGATAATTTATATGTGACACCCCTATTTTTAAAATACATCTAAAATGTTATCTATCAAAAATTGAACTTCAAACTTCTTTTCGAATGTATATATCTTAAAAGTTTAAAGTTAATTCTAATACGATAACTTTAAAAACTTTTTAAAATTTTTGGATATCTTTAGAGGAAAAATTTCGTTAGTGGTACTAGTAGTGTCTCTTTTGTAACCTATAGAGAGATTTGATGTATTAAAAATAATAAATTTCGTATAATATTTATTTAAAATATACTTCACACATTATTTATTTTTACACTTCCTTGCAACAAAGTTATTTGTTAAAATATCATTAACTCCTCCTCTTCTTCTTTTTTAAAAATAATATTAAATAATTGTATTATTTGAGTCGAAATACTTTGGGAAAAGTTGGCAAATATTTTTTTATCAAATTTATCGCTACAATAGTAATTTTTATTATTAAACTAAGTTGAAATCATTATTATTTTTTTTTTAAAAAAAGATACTTGAGAGGCCATAAAGTCTACTGGAAACACGTTGAAAAACAAATAAAAATAAAAACAAAAACATATGACAAGAAAGAAAATGCAAAGAAGACAAAATGTATTAACGCAAGTGTTAAATGCTATATGTTAGTAACACTGAATTACTTGATATTAGTAAGACGCAATATAGTGTACATGATAAGAAAAAATGTATCAAACAAGATACTACTTATACACACACATAATGCATGCATTATATTTCTTAATGTACTCTAGAAACGACTCCTAAAATATATTGATCGAGATTACTAGTTCGGATGATTTTTCTAAGGATCCTAAGAATTGTATATTTTGTGCACCCAATTGAACTCTTATGGACTAGTCCTTGTCCAATAAAATGGACGGGGCCGATCTCTAAACTGGATATTATTTGTGGCCCATAGAGTAAACTGGCCAATAGAGAAAAAAGAAAAAAAGTTTACTGGCCCAAATGAAAAGCCCATTCGTAAATCCAGTTTTAGGCCTTTTAAAATCTAGGGTTTTTCATTCAGCCCTATAAAAGCGAAGTGCAATTCTTTTGCAGTGCCTTGTTCTTCCATTGCCTCCAGAACCCTAGCCCTCAAATACCCCAGGTATGTTCCAGTCTTTGAAATTTCTCAAGCAATAATGCTCAGTTGATTTTGTAAGCTATACTACGTGTTATTGAATTTGTATAATGCAAATATAATTGAACTGAAAATGTATGTTTAGGTAGATAAGCTTGTAGCTTAACTGATAATTTTGGATTTGTTTGTGCTTTTATGCGCAGTGCCTTAGTTTTGCGAGTTTCGATGATCTTATATGCATATCGATATACCTTTTGCAATGTAGGATAATTGTTTAAATCAGTGTGTAGAGTGTTTGTAGGGAAGTGTTCTTAGATTGAGGGAAGAAATTGCGGGTGTGTTTGGATTGAATTGGGTTGCAGTTTATGTTTAGTCTCAGAAAACCTTGGTCTAATCGCTCGCTCTGAATGTGACCTGAAGTTCGTAAAAATCTCCTTTTTACATATTCGGATCTTAGGATATCTTATTGTTGTGTATGTTACTATTTAAATCAGTTACCGGGTTTTGTTCGGTATATTTACTCAGTTCATAGTAAAAATAACTATGT